GGTCCGCAATTTGCACTTGGTCTCTGATGGATTTTCCTTCACAATCTGCGGCCTCAGATGGAATTCTGCGGTCCGCACTTGAGCTTTTGTGCCTGATTTTTGTCCTTGAGTTCAGATCACTCCTTCTTGAGTTAGATTTCATCTTTGTGGCTCATTTTCCAATACTCCTGCAATTAAGCATATTTCATCAGTTTTTTAGAATGCAATTAAACACTTTTGGACTAAAAGGCGCTAATAAATAGTCAAAATCCCCACTTATCAACTCCCCCAAACTTAAGCTTTTGCTTGTCCTCAAGCAAATAAGGTAATTCCCGCCTCCACAAGTTAAGATCTATTCTAGCTAATCTTAGGTGCATCAATCACACATCAATTGGGACTAACAATTACTCATAATACTTATGAATTATCAACAAGGAAATGATTTGAAATTTTAAGCACAAATACTCTAATGTGACACTTGAGCATCAAGAGTTGACTTTATTCATAAAGGAAGCTTGCTCTTTTATGTAGGTCATTGTGGATCCCAAACTTCTCCTCCTCTACTCTCCGCAAGCATATCTCACTTAAGAATGTATCACTCAATCAAGGATTTGTGAAAAGTTCGCTCATCTCCCTCAAAATAACGTCACAAGTACGGCTCTAAGTACCATATGCTTGCCCCTCATGTAAATCACCACTAATGTAAGTTCACTCGGCTTGAAATCACGTAGTGTTTTTTCGGAATATAATGAAGGCTTTTTAACTAAGGTAGAAAATGTTGGAATAGAACGGGTTCATCGTTCCTTAAGCACTCCATTTTCTCTTTTTGGCTCATGTTTTGCTGACTCTTTTAGGCATTTTCTTTTTCCTTAGGGGAACTAGAGAGACTTAACATCACTCTTTCTTGGTCATGATATTCATTTTCTCCTTCTTTGGTTTGTCCATGGTTTGCATCATCACTTTTCTTTGAATCCCTTCAACTCTTCAACTTATTCACTTTTGCATTTTTCTTTTTGTTCTTTCTTTCTTTTTCTTTGCCTTTCCTTTTCTTCATTTCTTTTCTATTTTTGTACCTTGATACCACTTTCAAACTCCCGTCTTTCCCCCAAACTTATGTTTTAGCCAATTGTTTCTCAACAGTATTAAGGAAAGCTCGGGTGCCAAGAGAGGGTCACTACAAAACAGGTAAAGGCTTGTAACGTGATTATCAAATGAGAAAGGTCTTAGGCTCAAATGGATAGCAACATTGGCGGGACATGAAAAATTTCAAGCGGGTCAAAGAGAGTCTATAATAACTTCTCAAGCCAAGCAAAACTTAAAATTTCGCCTAGAAACATATTCGGGGCAAGTTCTATACCATTCGCATAGGTACTTGGACTTACAAAAAAACATCTCACCTCTCACACAGCTGGATTGTTAAAGAGGATATATATGTGTATTTTAGTTCCCAAGTTAAATGTCTAAGGTTCTATGTACACATGTTTACTCTTCCAAAGGTTGTATAATAGATGTAGTAAAAAGTAATTTTAGTTTCCATCAAGGAAATAGGAGGATAAATATTAGCTTTATAACAATCTCATTCATGTTTCAAATTTGTTGCGACTTTTAAAGTTCTTTTATGTTGTTTTTAAGATATGTATGCACAGTGGCGGATCCACCCTTTAGGGTGGTGGGTGGTATAGCACCCGCTTGGTTGGTAAATTATCATGGGAAACTACCAGCTATGTTCATTTATAAGTAGTTCATTACATAAATTGGCCAATTTATAAAATATTACTAATATATATATATATATATATATATATANTAAGTTTTGAGGTGGTTTGAATTGAAAATTCGAAGTAAAATCGGAACATGAAAAAAAATGATATGTGTATCATTAGTGTATCACATATGTATCATTTATGTATTAATTATGTATCATATGTATATCCATGTATACCTGTGTGTGAGATACATGTGTAGAAGAATTTTTGAACTCGATTTTATTACGAATTTTGATACAAAACCAGTCTAAATCACCTCCAATCTTTCTCAAAAATTTTGTATATTGACTTATCGATATGTTTTCGATGAATTTCAACTATATCCATTGAAAAAGTTTCTTTTTGCTTAGATTTTTGGAATATCGTTTTTTTTTTTTGTATTTCATCACCTTATTTGCTACCTTATTCATGAAATTTCTTTCTGTATTGAATCTAATGTTGCTAACCACGCTTAACAATATGGAAGGTGATTTTTGCATGTGATTCTTTGAGAGAAAGAACCTTATTTATTTGGTTTTTTAATTTTTATATATGCTTGACTAGTTTTGGTAAGTCTATGACTAATGGCTAGAGGTTGGTAAGTTGAGACTTATTTGGGACATTTGTGTAAGTTTCCCAATTATCATATATTTATGTAAAAAAATTCATAAACTAGGTTAAATATTTGATCCTGCCACCCCCAGTCACAAACTAGACAAAGGTGTCATGACTGGTAAACCTTTTTGAAAGTTTCTCTCAGAGTGTAAAATTCAAGTTCGAATTTATCTTGAACCTTGTGTGACTTTCCCTTTTTGTTGTGCTTTTAATTTTCTTAGTCCCAGTCATTTTCCTTTTTGGATAGCTCTCAATTTCATATTTGTCGTTTATTATTTTTTATATTTTTCTCTGTTTTATTATTTTATCTATGATCTTTAGCAAAAACACTCAAAAAAGAACCTCCAAAATTTAAAATTTTTATACAATCAGCATTTCTCTTAATCTCAAATCTTTTAGGGTTTTTTTTTTCAAAATTTAAAAACCTTGGTCTTGATCGGAATTTTGGATTGAGATCAAATTTAATTTTTATAATATTTTTATTATAACATAAAATATGTGTTATTTATGATTCTTAAATACAAATTAAACTCTTTATTATTAAATTATAATGAATATTTCATAAGTATTGCCTAGAAAATATAAGATTTATGATTTTAATCTTTTGGATCTTGCAGTTTTATCTAATTTTGCATTTACTTATGGGTTATAATTTATCTATTGAAAATATTTTTTTTTTTCTGATTGGTGGAATTCCCTTATGAGGATGTTATTTTACTTGTGCAAATTAATTTTTAGCATACCAAACAAGATGGAGTTCCCTAGTGAAAATACTAATTTTACTTATATTGTTAATAATAAATGTGTGATTCCTTTTTTAAAATGCTAATTACATTTGCTTTTTGATGTCTGAGATGTAATTTTTATACAAAAATAATAATTACACCTACTGAAATTCACAAGTAGGGTTTGGGAAAGAAATGTAATTTTCATATTTGTAAATAAGAAATGTATATTAAATTGCTCGAATAAACTAAAAAATTAATCGAACAAACGTTTCGAACAAACTCTATATTAATTATTACAAGGTATACAATAAAGGAAATTGTGACACCCACAACCTTCAAATAATAAATCTGCCTCTGTGTATACAGAATGCTTGAGATAAGAAAAATCACGACTGGAGAGGGATTTAAGGAAATAATGAAATTATGTGGCACAAATCTATATAGGAAAATTTTCATAAAGCACTATTTTTTAGAAGTAATTAGTCATCTATAGATACTATTTGCTATATTACGGATTATAGATACCTTTTATGTGGTTATAAGATGTATTTGATGTATTTAAGCTATTGTATTCATGAATACAGTAGCAAAAATAGGCGTGAATCAGGGAAGTCCAGCTAATCAGTTATTATATTCGAGTGTATTCGACTGTATTCATGGAGTGAAACATAGGATTAAAGCTGGACAAATTATTGTATTCGACTGTATTCACGACGTGAAATAGGGGATGACATTGTTTTCAAAAGGGAAAGTGAATCAATTAACATAATAGACTCCTAAGATAACTCAACAAACTCAATTATAACACATAAATTTTGTCTTTTCAGTTATAAAAAAGATTCTCAATCGAAAAATACCCAAAAACATAGCAATCTACAGAGAAATTATATAATACATCTGAATACATAAATTATATTAATTAAAAAAAACTTATGAATACATTCATGGCATATAGCGAGATAGTGAATACAATGAAATACATAGAACACAGCGGGATACATTGAAATACAATGAGAAAAAAAGATAGTGAATACAATGAAATACATGGAATACAACCAGTAATTACAATGAAAAAAAAGACAATGAATACAATGAAATACATGAAAATACATAAACATATATTAACAGAAAATCATCCTACAACATCCATATCTCAATTTTTTCAATTGGCAGGGACGGTATTCACTAGGCTAGTGGAGCCAACTTATACAGCAGTGAGGAACGAGTTTAGGAGGAGAATGGGAAGGAAAACGACAGTGACAAGCCTTGGCGGATTCGACACTTGCTACACAGTCCCCATTAGAATTCCAACAATAACGCTGATGTTTGCGGGCATGGATATACGTTGCCGCAAGACAACTTCTTGATCCGTAGAATAGAAGGAATCAATTAATGGAGGATCCGACACTTGCTACTCAATCCTAATAGAATGGATCCAAAAAAAAATGGGGGTAGTTAGAAATCTACAAAGTTAAACAGTAAAAATATACTCTCAGTAATTGCGTAATCCTATCATCTAGTCTTCTACTCATATATATAGTGATATGCTCTTCAGGTGTTTTCCTCTGTTGCTTTCTTGCCTCTTAACGAAATTGGCTGGTTTGGAGACCAATCCAGGTATATTGGTTACCTCCGTAGCAGAGAAGGAATCAACTAATTGAGGATATCGAGGAATCAATTAATGGAGGCTATCGACTTCTTGCTAACAATTCTCCTACTACAATGGAGGATAGAATTCGCAAGCGAACTAGACAGAGAAGAGGAAGAGTATCGAAAATTTTAATGTAATGGGATGGGGGAAGAGAATGAGATGTATCAAAGTAGAGAGAGAAAGAAAATATTGTAACTGATTAGCGTATTTAGTGGCTTAGGGNCTATTTATCTATTTTGTCAATTTTTTGCCTTTTCTCCTTTTTAAAATTATTTAAAAAAATGTTTCATTATAGAAAATTCAACAGTCACTTCTTCTCCCCCCCAAAAAACCATTGCTTCCTTTAATTCTCTTAATTAGGCCTCCATTAATTCTCTTCCTCCATTTCTTTCCCAGGTGAATTTCCTTTTTCCTTATCACTTTCTCTCTTCTTCCTCCTCTCTCCACAGGTAATCATCAAGCTAAATATCCTCTTTCTGTCTTTTGAAATTTATTTTGTTGGTATTTCATGTATATTTATTTCCAGTATATTCAATTTCTGTTGGATTTTAGATTCGTTTGGGTAATTATCAGTGTGCTTCATTTTCTTTGGTATGTTTAATAATTACTATTTTATTTTCCTTTTACTCAAATTGATTTTCTGATGATCAGTTGTGTACCCTTTGCATCTTCGCCCATTTTTCATGTGTCCTCTTCATCATTTCCGGCTTTACTCGATTTCCATGTTAGTTCTTCTTTGTGCGACACTTCTATTTATATTTGGTCTATGTTTCTTTTGACTGTATGGTCCGACATAGTGATCGAATTTTTGTATTTTTCTGTAGCTTCTGAGAGTTACTCGACTATCATTTTGTACTGTAGCTATGACATGATTGACTTTTGGGACGTTCTCTTACAAGGTTTGGTTACCTTCTTTAATCAAATTTTAAAATAGTAAATTTAACTTTTACAATAAGAGTAAAACTAGCTAGCTATATCTTTATACGTGTACTTAATATACATAGGAAAAAACAAGTGTATAAAATTTGTTAAAGATATTATTCATAGATAGAATATTAAACTTGAATAAGCTTTCACTAGCTTTGATATGAACACAAGAAGCAGTTATGACTTTGTTGGCAAGAATGCGCAGTTGCATTAGAAGCCAAACTACTTTGAAATGAAAGATTGAAAATATAATGTCTTAGATTTTTTTAATCATACAAGTTCACGAGTTCTATATTTGATGCAAAAAGTTGTTTGGAACTCGAGTATGACATGAAGCTACTATTCAAGATATGTAGTCATTTGCCTATGTAATAACTTATTTCTTTTATGGTAAGGCAGAGATAATTATTGTATATAGAAATTGTGAGAGGCTCTATATTTGACATGATAGATTAAAATGGGACACCATAACAATCTTACTCTTGATTAATTTAGTTACTAACCAAATACAGCTTTAGTTGGAATTATTTTTTCCTATATTAATGGCTATTTTTTCTACACCCACATGCCACAGGATACAGGAAATTTCAACAATGTAGGTTATTTATTTTTTCTTGTGAGCTTTTGTTTGACATTGCTATATTTTATTTACCTGATAAGGGTTGTATTAATGTATGTGGATATCTTTTGGTGATTAGGTCATGCCATTTATTAGGAATTAGTCAAGAGAAGTCCCATTGGTGTAGAAGAAGTTGCTATTCATTGTCTCTCCCTTCTTCTCCTATATTCCCATGGAAGCAATAAAAATGCTGCTACAGATGGACGTTTTTGCTATTGTGATGCTGAAGTAAAGCTGCAAATTATTGTAAAGAAGTTGGGGGTTTATGCTGGAGTTCGTTGTGAATAAGAAAAGAGAGTGTTATTTCTACTCCATTATTGCACATATTTGAATTGTTTTTTTTTGTTGTTGAATAAAGTTCTCCCATATCTCTTAAACCAATCGAAAAAAGGGTCGATTAAAAGATTATGATAATTCATTAATTTTGCTTGAATTGTTTATATATATTAGGAAGATTGAGCCACCATAATGAGTGTATATGCGTTTTTGTTTTCTCGAAAAGCTGTGGCTCTTAGTGCAGGCTGAATTAGAAGCTTAAATGTGGTAATTCTCTACTTAAGAAAAGAAATGTAAATGACATTTGCTATGAATAAAAAAAGTACCACAAATTGCATTTTTGGAATTCTTAAAATTAGATATAGGAAAAATTAGAGAAAAAGATTAAATTAGGAGTTGTGTCTGAAAAGCACTTGAGAATAGAAAATAACGTAAGAAAACATTTAATCAAAAATTTAATAAATGTTAATGTTTTAATTAATGAAAAGCAATATGGACTTCTTGAGATGTTTCAGAAGGTCAACTTAAGGCAAAGTAATCCGATGAAGTTTTTTACAAGCGCTCAAATCTCTATATTGATGTTCTATTCAGTTAACCAAAAAAAATAACTAATGAAATACCTAACAAAGGATGTAATTAGTAATCACTAAGAAGACTCAAGAGGGTAAAAGGATGATGGAATAGAACGTGGCATGGCACTTATCTATTGTATTTATTTTCTTCTCTTTTTTGCTTACTATTACTAATAAATACATAGGAGTAATAATGTAATATTTAAATAATAAATACTACAAGTCTCTAATTATGATCAACATTTACTTCAAATTATTATAGTAATAAATATTATTAGTTACAATAATGAATGTTATTTATGAACAAAATTTAACTAGGAAGGAAAGGCAAGAGTTTGCATAGAATATTTTTTTTCTAAGTGAAAGGTCTTGATCAGAACTTTGTCTTAGTATTCAAAACTGTGTCTTATAAAACTACAAAAAATATAGGTAGTGCTTTTTTTTTTTTTTTTTAAATAGTTTTTTTTTTTTTGTTTATATTCTTTCTGCTTTTTTTTTTTTTCCTTAGGCATTTGATTTGTGATTTTTGTTTGCATCTTTCTTCGACTTGCTTAAAACTGACATAATTGCTATATGACTTATATCATGTAATTTATTTCATTTTATAAACTCTTTTATACTTAAATCTATAAAAAGAGATGTTTCACCGCGCTTCGCGCGGATTGATTAACTAGTAATAAGTTGAAATTCCATGTGAATGATTCCTGACAATGGTCGGAGGAGACCTATGGAGAGAGCAAATTATTCTAACGTCTCTACAATAATATTTAATCACGGATACACCTTTTATATTCCACAAATTTTATACAAAATAACCATTCATCTGTTTTTCCCAGGGTCAAGTATATTGCTTGACATTCTTTTAACTAGCAAAAGCAAAAATTATGTACCTAAAATACAACTTACGATAAGACCATCTAAACTATAAGTTAGTTGATTCTTGAAAACAAAAGATACGCTTGACGCCCAAAACGTCCAAATACACTGCCCACAGTGCACGAAAGTTAGCAGACGGATCCATGGCGGATTGGCCAAACGTGCCAAGGTGAGCCCGGGGCATCTAGGAGCTTTATTAGAAGGATCCGGAAGGTTCCGAAGTGCTTCGAGCATGTCGGAAACCTATAGAAGGCCGAGAATTAGATCATCTTATTAAAGCATACTTTAAAAAGGCAGATTAAGTCTGTTATGGAAGTCTCCAATCAACATACACACACTGAGGACATCATAGAAGCCCTTAAGCTGGCGGAACCAGTCCCTAACCATGGGCGGATTTACATGAAAGGGTATGGATTCGCGTAAACTCATGCACCCCTCCCCATATTATGTATTGCAGTGCAACTTCTCTGAAATATAATACTTAAAATATGTTTGTGAGAACCCATACACAGGAGACTACTTCATTGCACTCATTGCCGCATGCACCTTCATTAACCAGGTCGAGGGATCAAATCCCCCTCTGGCTTGAAAATATAGCATAAACATATAAGCATAACACAGAACCATTATGCAGAAAAGCAAGAACAAATACATTACTTAAATCAAACCAGCAGAAAGCCAACATTAGCAAGTTTACTGTTTACAACAACTTAGTTCATAGCAGGCATTATTTGGAACAAACACAAGTATAGTAACTGCGCAGTGATTGATGATGGCAATCAGAAACCATGAATCTTGATGTGCTCTTTCTTCACTATTCCAACCTGTTCCCGAAAACCAAAGATTCACAAATCAGCTTTATTATAAACTACATAAATACTATCAACAACCAAATAAAATCAAACTGTAAATTCAATCAAGCTAGAAAACGTATCAGTGATGGTGTGAAAGTTGTTTCTTTATTCCGACTTGGGATTCGGAGATTTTCAGAAATAATCACAATAACAAAAAGACTCCCAAGACTGGAAGACCGGGAAAAGAAATTCTCCCGCATTCAAAATAATAGGGCACCTATTAGTGGTTATCAAACTCAACTAGCTACTCAAAACTAATTTCAGTTCCTAAAGGAAAAAAAGGCCCCATAATGCAGCAAGAACAGAGGATGCTTATCGAGTATTATATAAAAGGTGAAGTCAAACATATGTCCGATACAGGTAGACGGATAACATGCTTTTTCTATGTACCCTCTCATCACAGGTATAATTTTGAAGAACAGAAAATAGCTGCTGGTTGATGTGAAAAATAATTACCTGGACAAGAAATGTTGAAACATTCTTTCGCTGATCACCCTGAAGTTGAATAACCTTCAAAGACGGAAAATACATTTACATTAGTCATGATCACCATATTTTTTCTCTGAGACGACATAGAGATCAATATCCATTAACACAAACCTGCCCCAATTCTGGATCCTGGACAACAGTGCCGTTGCAGCAAAATTCTTTCTTGAGATCCTTCAGAATTTTATTGTAGCTGAATTCTTTCTTCAAACCCTGCACAGTTGTCAGGCTTTTCCTACCGTTCCTTTGTTGTATACGGATGTGCACATAATCTTTTGTCCCCGCACCAGAGTTATCAGCATTTGCCTCAGCAAAGGGATCTGAGGCAGACAGCAAAGTACCACAATATTACCAATTATAAAGCATAACTTGAACAATACAGCTCCTCCTAACTAGCAGGCTCATCATTTTTACACATAAAATATAACCTCTTCTGTACAAGTGCTTACTTGCACGATTAAAATTTTTTAGTCATTTTCTTCTGATTATTCAAAAGTTCAAGTTATTGAATAAAAAAGATCGCAAGACAGAGAAATCCACCAAATTGAACCAAATAGGAATGTAAATTGAAGAAGTTGCATACCAAAAGCATTAGGAACTTGGAGGTCGAGATCAGACATGAAACTTGGCTGAAGAAAAAGGGTAACAAGAGCACGCGCAACTCTTCAAACTTAGATGCTCAGACCTAGCAAAAAGAGAACCCTTCAGCAGTTAGTACAGCCATCTGCAAGCATAACACATGGGGTATGTGTAAAACAACGATGCAAGAAAAATCAAGATCAATATATGAAAGGGAAACTTGCGTTTTTTGTCCCTAAAATGTCGACAAGTTCTTATTTTGGTCCTTGTGATGCTTGGTTAAGCACATTTAACCTTCAATTAATTTAAATGTACACTTTTGACCCTTCTGCGTGTGAATCTTCACAAAGTTAATAAATTAACAACTGTTATACCATATAGCTGCCCATACGATATGTTAAATTTTGTACTGTTAATTAATATTTGTGGGCTATGTAAATAATCTAGATTAACATATTTCCTATGTAAAACCAAAAACACAAATTTTAATTAGTTCAAGGTTAAATATGCTTAGTGAAATACCAAAAGAACTAAAATTTAAAGTTACCAATAAGTGAGGATCAAAAGTGCATTGATCCCTATATCAAAAGTCCAAACCTTCAATGATAAAAATTGTGTCATCTAAAGGAAAAAACCTTTTTGTTGATAATCACCTAAAAAATCTATTCTCTCTTGTATGAATTACAGCAAGAGGTAAAGGATAAGAGAAATCAAAATTGGAACAAGTAGAATTGGATTTGTAGGGTTATTGTGTAAAAGGAATAAGGATAGAGCAACCAAAATAACTGAAACACCAATTAGTGATAAAGATGAACCTTTTAGCACTAATAGGATTGCAAAATCCGTCTAAACACCAATAATTCATAACAAAGACAACAATCAAAGGCAAGAAACAAATCAAACAACTAAAATTAGGCCAAGAAAATCAGCGGAAAACAATATAATGAAGAAAATGTAAACTAAAATTCCGAGTTCTTCAAATAAAAATCTAAATTTCTTCGATAAAGTACTCAACAAAGAAACACAAAATCAAAATGGATCAGGCGATATTAAATTACCAAACCCCCGCCCTTCCACCAACATTGAGCCATAAAAATAATCCGGAAATCCAAATTGAATACTTACATCACTTCAATCTAGGTGGACATGCTTATTTGAAACTTCTACTTACGAGATGGATTAAAAGAGGTTCGTGCAAACTGACTCGAATATTATTGTCAGAATTAAAATCAATTTAAAAAAAAAAAGGAGTAAAGAAGATTACCTGATCTGAAGGTTAAGGAGTGGAGAGATGAGGATGATTAGAGTAGACCCAAAATTCCGAGAGAGAGAGAGAGAGCAAAGTCAAGACCAAGAAGAATAGAATGTGGTTTCGATGTGAAACGATCGATAGAATATATGTTAGGTCGGTCGCAAATAATGAAACGTAAGCGGAGCTACTATAGGCTGCGTCTCGGAGCAGCATACTCCTGTGCGCCCTTATTAACTTTCACCAACTCCGAGTTGTTCCCCNAAGTTAAGATTTTGTTTCACTTATAGGGCTTGAATAAAAAATATTTCTCCACGAAAAGGATTTAAAAAAAAAATTGTAGCTAGTGGAAATTGAACCCATAACCTTATGTAGATTTTGAACCCCTTGACCATTAAATTACACTTTTGGATTGTATTAAGGGGTTCAAAACTTAATATATAGAGGTAAAAAATAGATTTTGCCTTATATATACAGTGTAATTCTTGCGCCCCCCTAAATCCGCCCCTGCTAATTACCATTTATGTACCATTTTAGGATTTTAATGGTATTAATTAGTCTCCTAATTTTACTCAACCGTATATTCTCACTCCCCCAAGTTTCTCTCTCCAAATCTCCACGCTTTCCCCTTCAATTACCCACGATTTTTTCTTCTGACACCAGCAAAAATTTGCAACTCCTCCACCATTGAAAATCATTAAAAAGCTTTGAAGATTTGAATTCAAATTTGGATTTTCAAAAGATATTGTTTGTATTGGATTGGATGTTGTTGCAAAGAATTGAGAATTTTCTCTACGTCTCTATTTATCTCTCAATCCCAAATTTCAGTAATATAAGAGGAGGAAAAGAGAGCAGCAATTCCACCATTGACAACCATTAAAAAACTTTGAATTCGAATTTGGGTTTTCAAAAATCATTTTTTGTTTGGATTAGGTGTTGTTGCAATTAATTGGGAATATGGTTTGGAGTTTATATCTCAATTTTGAGGGGTTTTGGTGAAGATTAGACTTGTTTTTGGCTAAATTTCAGATTGAAACTCGAAGAAGAAGAAGAAGAAGAAGAAGAAGAAGAAGAAGAAGAAGAAGAAGAAGAAGAAGAAGAAGAAGAAGAAGAAGCAGAAGAAGAAGACCTGAAGTTGTTTAAACAGTGGGTACAATTTAATAAAAAATTAAAAAGTGAGTACATGTTAAATGGGGGCGATCAAATAGGACGCCCCGTGCAANCATACATTATATTGCAGAAATTGTAGAAAAAATGTATTCTGTTGTTTATTTATTTTTTATTTATTTATTTAACTATTGTATGAAAGTTGAACAACATTGTATAAAAATTGTATTTAAGTGGTATTATATTGTAGTTGTATATAACTTGGTAGAAAACAGTTGCATGTTTGTGCTGTTACATTTTATATCAAATTATGGTTGTATATAAATGTCCTACAACTTATCTACAATCAATTGTAGATAAGTTGTATTCCTCTATAACGAGAGATGTTGACATATCAAATAACTTTAGTGTTCCAGACAAACTTGCATGAAAATAAAAATAAATTTTGTTATGAACAGTTTGTAGAAATTTTGTAGATAATTTGTAGAAACATTGAAATTCTGTATTTTCATATTAATTTTTCAAATGATATGTATTTTTATTGTAAAATAAATGTAGAAATTTTGTAGATAATGTGAAAATCTATACTGATATATATATTTACTTTGACATGTAGTTTATTTGTAGATAAAGTGTAGGACATTTATATACAACCAGAATTTAATATAAAATGTAACAGCACAAACATGCAACTGTGTTCTCATTGGTGATACTCAATTCCATATTGAAATCGCGAACAGTTATACATAGCGGATATCATCCTAAGTTTTTGTTTTTTCAACTTTCATACAATAGTTAAATGAATAAAAAAAAAATAAACAACAGAATATAGTTTTTCTACAATTTCTGCAATATAATGTATGTCATGTCTTCTTATTCTTCGAGTTTCAATCTGAAATTCAGCCAAAACCAAGTCTAATCTTCACCAAAACCCCTCAAAATTGAGATATAAACTCCAAACCATATTCTCAATTATTTGCATCAACACTCAATCCAAACAAATAATGATTTTTCAAAATCCAAATTCGAAATTCTTTAAATTGATAACTTCTTATACAATTTTAAATGGACAATATGGCTGTAAAACAGATATCTCATGGGGCAGTAAACATGTTCAGAACAGAAACAGGGTACACTGACTTAGAAAAAAGGCAGCTTTTTTTTGAGAAGCTATCAATTTAGCAGGAAGCAGAGTGTTACTGAGAAGATGAGAAATTCTTTCTTCTAGAGTGAAAAGGGTGATATGGGTAAAGCTCAAATCAGCAAGAAAAATCAGAAAATTGGTTTGGTTGAGGCTCAAATATGGTATCTTTGGCTATAGAAGAAGAAGGGCTTTTCGCCAACTTGGTATCTTTGGCTATCGCAAAAACAGAGTTAAATAAGAAAACCTACCGCTACAATGATTTGGTAAACTAATATAATTTCCTATACGGTATAGGAACGAAAATTTCCTTTTGAAGAATTAGCCCTAACTTTCTCGAAAGTATTTTAAAGAAAAAAAAAAGTAGTTTAAATTTACTTGTTTGGGAAACTTTTATAAAAGAAAGATTGAAACTTTCTTTTGCCAAAAAAACAGTTTGTTCCAAAAAAAAATATGAATCTGGTTAATTGCATGTAGTTTGTTCAGTTGAAGCTTTTGTGACTGAAAGAAAGACATTTCTTTGAAGAACAGCTTAAAATCACAACAACTGTTTGGAATATATACTATTAACCATAGGTTTGGTTTAGATATAATTTTTATTATGAAATAATTGTTTATTCAGTTTTAATAAAGTTTTAAATAGATCATATATTAGTCTGTGTTCTTTGCTTATATAGTAGATGATTTAGTGTATAGAGTTTAGTTTATACACAGAAGATTAAATCATCGGTTCTTATAAGTATAAAGTTTGATTCACAATCTAATGATGGAATTTGACAAACCATCAGGAATGATTGCATCACAAGATTAACTATAACTTAGCTTGATTATGGGAATGATTTAATTCCAACTTCTTGTGCTAGCATATTTTGTATGTATTGAACGGATCAGGTAGAGATAAGTATTTTATACTAACTTAATAAAATAAACTATCTAGCCATTAAATGTACTTATACCCTTAATTTTGATATAATTATTATTAGCTATGTACATTATTATTATTTTGATTTATTAAAAGTCGAGATTCTTTCGTGGGTCAATATGCCTGGTAAATTGGATAATAATAATAATGTACATTGGCGAAATAATAGTTAGTTGATGGAATCCATGTCTCGGATTAGAGATTGATAATACACCTTTATGAAAGCTTATAAGTTTTCATATGTAAACCCAGCCATTGAATTTTGTATCCGATACATGAAATAAGTTAAGCAAAAGTCTAAAAAAAATAATCAATAAATTAAATTGTCGGTAATTTAATTTAGTTGATTAGTATCTGAATCTTAACATGAGGAGTTAAATAAGATTTAATGGATGAATTTCGAAATGGAATAAGGAGTGCAATTACGGATTTTTAGTGGAATAATCGTAATTAATTATGGTTGATATTAATTTCAAAAATTATAAATTAATTCCATAATTGGAAGCCTTATTAATTAAATTATGTGGTCCATGTTGTGCCTGAATAATAGGAAATAATAAAATCCTTTTTCTGGTGGAAAAGAAAATCCAACAGGTTTTGAAAAGGGGTTTTAACCCTTAAAACTTGTGCTATAAATACATAAGGTTTTCCACCTAGATGAGGGGAGAAAAAGGGGGCTGAAATTTTCAGTCTTTTTCCTAGAAAAATTTCGCCCACACGAAATTTTATTTTCGAATATTATTTGGGTAATACAATAGAAGATCGTTGACCGTTTGAGGATCACGATTGTGCGGGTGATGGAGATTACATTGAAAAGTTATGGAATTGAAGGCTCACGCGATAGAGGATCTTTGTTCACGCTTCAAGAGGTAACTCGTGAAATCCCGTTTATGCTAGTTGTCTAGATTACATGTGATTTTGATACTGGGATTGCTTCCGCGACTTATTATAATCCATTAATTGGTATCAGAGCCCGCTCACATCTAGTTAAATAACTAAGTTTTTGATGAAACAAGAATATCGTGTTTATGTGCGTTTTTGAATTACATGTATATGTGGTTTTCTGAAAACTGCACTGCTGTTTTGTGAATTAACTGCGCAAAATTTTTGGATTATTCGTGTAATCATGAGATATCTGTTTTCTTATTGATATTTGATTGAGATTATCTGAATTTTTTGGGATAAACCCTAGAAAAACGCAATACCTGATTTTGACCGAATAGCCTGTATTTTCGGAGGTCATCGAATTTGACGGACTCCGATTAAGCTGAAATTTGGTCGGTCCATTGGAAACGACGTGGTGAGAAAAACTCACTGCTTTAATAGTGCATCATGGTATTTTTCAGCGTTTTGAGGTCGTTTGGACTGTGTTTCAGACGTTTTTCTATTTTCTGGAAATTATTTCTTAATCATTTTAATTCGTTTTTAATTCAATGATGGTGGGGTGAATCCCCATGGTCCCTATGATTAAATACGCGCCATATAATAGGATTACACATTGGTTATAGCAAATAGACGTGTTGTTGTATTAAATTCAATAATAGAGGTGTAGGATTTTATTGATTAGGTCTTACAAGGTATAATTGATATTGTGTGATGATATAATTATTTTGTAAGAAAGTAAAATCCTCTATTTGATATTCTGGATGACTAATGATTGGAGCGTTTGGCATATTTGTGCATAAAAAATTTCTCAAATTTTAGTTTATGTTTTCATGCCTTACGTGATTACTAATTTTGGAGAATTTTGTTCTCTGACTGGAGGTTCTAATTAAGTAAAATATGACGGTATTTTGTATGAGTTTTATATTGTTGGTATGACTTTTAAGCTATGGTCCATATTCTGCCATAAAATAATTTTATGAGCTACATATATATTCACTTGTAAATTGAGAATTTTATGAGTAATAAATAGTTACCACTGAAGTTGTTTGTTTATTTGAACTCATGAAAAAATCTTAGTAAATT